AGGAGCGCCCAGTTGCATCAACGCCAATCATATCGAGAAGCGGCATACCGTACTTATTCGTCTTGTACGTGCAGTCAAGGAGGAGGAGGTCAGGGTACGCTCGAAGATAGCCAAGAGAGTCGGGATGCGCAAAAAGGACTGCTGTAACTCGGCCATCTGGTGCGAATTGAATTCGACTCCAAAAGCCCTCCTTATCGAGTCGATTGGCTAGCGCATGAACTGCACTCTGACCTTCGCATGCATCTCGTCGTACATCTGCAATCCGGTTGTAGATGTCTTGCCTTGTAGCTAGTGAGCCGCTCTGCCGTACGAGTGTCTGGATTTCCTTCGGCGAGATACCGGCATTCGAAAAGCTTGCTAGCTGTGACGTGCCTTCAGAAAGTTGCCGGTGAACTGGGTTTGCCGATGGGTGCTGGCTTGGCTCATGGTTGTGTACCGCAAAGCGCTGATCGGGACGATGCTTCAAGATCCAGCCGCCGCCGTTAGTCGTCTCTTTTGCTATAGTCGTCTCTTTTGCTATAGTCGTCTCTTTTGCTAACTGAAAAAGGGCAATCCGTCCTTCGAGTTGTTGTTTTCCGTTGACGCTCCAATACGCCGCTAGGAGGATGACGAGATCGATCGCATGCGTAGATCACTGTCGAGGTACCATTCTTCTCCTTCGTCGACCTTTGGGTAGTAAAGGCGTAGCCTCTTGGCTTAGCCCACGCGTTGATCGACTCGAATAATGCCTGTCGAGACTCGAAATGGCGTTCGGGAGGAAGGCAGTCGCCTGGGAAAGTCTCCATGGCGATGGCGATGCGATGGCGATGGCGATGCGATGGCGATGGCGGTGTGCTGCGGGCGCGGGGGAGGCGGCCGCGTTAGATGCATTTTGTGATGACTAATACACTTTTGCAATGACTAAGCGAGACGGACCCGTCTCTCTAGTGGGAGCCGCTCGCAGTCAGCCGCTGACTAACTGCAACCCCAGCCCTGCCCCGCTCCCGCCTGTGATTTTGACGAACATCCACATGACCAGACTGACCGACTTGGCAATCTGGTAATTATTTAATATCCACATGCACCGGGGATTTCTGACCCTCTGATTGGTCAAATTAAAGTCACCGTCAGGATCTATATCCTCGTTGCCGTCTGAATACCGGGTGCATTGCGTGCAACTTCCAATCCTGCATCCTACATCCTACATACGTTCTGCACCCTTCCCGGTGAAGAAACATCGGGGGCCGCCCGCGCAGGCGGCCGGGCATCGCAAAAATTGGAAGACAGGTCCTTTGCGACTTGGTCTTTCTTTTCCAAGGGGTTGCAGCTCCGCGCAGCTACTGCGCGGCCTGTTGGCGACCGAAGACGTCGATTTCGAGGATCAGAAGTGAGGTTTCCGAGCGCCCGGAAATCCCTCACCACCCCGCCTGACAACTGCGACTTACCGACACCAACGACAAGAACAAGCTGCAACAAAGTTTGCAAGATTAGGGGGATACTGGGTACGAAAACCACCCGACTCTTTCGACGTTCTGAAGAAGAGACAGGGCA